CTGGGGGCAGTGGGGGATGAGCAGGCCAGTGTGGAGGGACGGTAGGGGCAAGCGGGCCAGCAGGGGAGGCAGTTTGGGGTGATCAGGCTGGCAGGGGGAATTTGGAGGCAAGCAGGCAGGCAGCGGGGGTGGGGGGGGCGGTGAGCAGTGGAGGGCGAGCAGGTCGGCAGGCAGAATGATTAGAGGGTATCAGGCAGGCAGGCAGGAAGGTGAGCGGTTAGGAGCCAGGAGTCCCAGATTGTGAGAGGGATGTCCGACTGCTGGTTTAGGTCCAATCCCTGTAAACTGGCAGTAGGACATCCTTCGAGGGGTCCCAAAGGGGAGAGGGTGCAGGCCAGGCTGAGGAACATACCCTCCCCCGCGCACAAATTTCTTGCACCAGGCTACTAGTGTGTGTGTATGTGTGTGTGTGTGTATATATATACAGACACATGCATACATATATACATATACATATATATATATCTCCTTCCTGCAAACACACACAAACAATAGCATACTAAAGTATAATGTCACGTGATTTGTTCATCAAAGAATATATAAGGACAAGTCTGAGGAGAGAGCAGTTGCTAGAAATATGAGGTGTTAGAAAACAAGAGGTGTGGTCATGAGTAAACACTATAGCCTTTAAGAGCCACAGACAAACTTCATAATAAGAATACATTTTATGAAGCATTATGAAATCATAACAACACCTTTCTCCCAAATAAAAAACACTTTTCCCATAAAGTTCTACATTTAGCTTTAAAACATCCTTTCCTAGGTATTTACGTTTTTTTCTTTCTTTTTATTTTCTCCCTAGGTATTTATGTATGTAGTGTCTACTACCCGCTGAATTGAAAAAGCCCCTATATAGGAGCTCATCTTTTTAAATATATATATATTATTTCAGAGAGGAAGGGAGAGGGAGAGAAACATCAATGATGAAAATCATTGATCAGCTGCCTCCTGCACGCCCCCTACTGGGGATTGAGCCTGAAACCGGGGCATGTGCTCTTGACTGGAGTCGAACTTGAGACCCTTCAGTCTGCAGGCCAATGCTCTATCCATTGAGCTAAACTGGCTAGGGCAGGAGCTCATCTTTAAAAAGGGAAGCTGATGGATAAGGAGACCATTATAAGTCAGTGTATGGTTTATTCATGGCAAAAAAAAAACAACCCAAAAAACAAAAACTACCTTTATATGACACTGTAAGGAAGTCAGCCATTAATTCATTTGTGCTCAAGTCCTATATTAAACTAAAAGAATCCTAATCCAAATAAAAATCATGAGTTGCTGTAAATTGAGTACAGAATCAGTAGTTAAGAGCATGGGCTCCGGACAGTGCTGTCTCTTGGACAGAGTTCAGAAGTGGGCCTGGATTAAATGTTCTTTCATCAGACTCTTGAAATTGTTAATACTTTTATCTGTGAAGTTGAGTTTTGTGAGTGCAGTGGAACATACATCAAGGGCTTGGTCTCACATCCTCCCATTTGGGTTCTTTGGCTTCCCACAGCCCTGTCTATGCCCAGCGCAGTCACCCCTCCCTGGTTGCTGGGGCCCGGCTCCTAGGCACCTGTGAGGGTGTGCACTAGCCCCACCAGTATTCCTGGGATTGAGGGAGCAACAGACTAAATACCAATAAGAAATATATGACAGGCCAATAAACCACGAAAGAAACGTTTTCCTACTTTTTGGATGAGGGGTTCTGCATTTTCATTTTGTACTGGGCTCCGCAGATTACAACCAGCCCTGGAGTCCTCCAGTTTCCACATCTGTAAGATAAGAATAATTGTTTTTATCTAATTCGGTTTGCTACTATTTTGGAGATCATGTGTCCCAGTACTTGATTCATGTTAAGCTCAGTACTCCGGGTGTTAAGTATTAATCAATATATTACCTAATTCATACTCACTCCCTCATGTCTCCTTTGCCTGCAGGCTAATACTTTAAAATACCCATCCCCACAGGCGGCGGCAAATGAGTGTCCTGGTTTTGCTTTACACGTTCATTATCTAATTAAACTTTCTTACAGTGTGCAGGAAAAACATGTTCATGCCTAACTTATAATGTGCGGCTGAAACAAAAAGATGTATCTAATAAGGCGTGCAAGAATCTTCACATGTACTAGGTAAATAAAAATTCAGAGCAAAACCTAGTGATTCAAGTGATGCTTTCAAAAAAGCTTTCTCACCTTCACTGGGACAAAAAAGACTAAGGTCCTTACAACGCGGGCCCAGTCTACAAGTGAATACAATAGAACCAGCATCTTGAAAAATTCCTTTCCAAACAGATCGCAGAGCGCCCAGGGGGCCACCGCTCACGCCTGGTTTCCATAGGAACGCGCAATTCCGGCGCGTAGCCCTCTGCTCCGGAAGTTGTCCTGTCTCACCGCCTGTGTCCCTTTGTTTCAAGCGTTGGTTCGCGCACGCGACTGAGGAGTTTTGGGCCAAAGAGGCCACCGTTGAGGGGGCGTGGCGACGCCGACGGCAAAGGCTGGCTGTGTTCACGTGCCTCTGCGGATCCGCTTCCTAGATCAACCATGGCCCAGCCCGGGACCCTGAACCTCAATAACGAGGTGAGCGCCGACGTCTGGGGGCTTGTGGGGATGACCTTGAGGGCCCTCGAAGGGCTCTTCTGCGTTTCTCTGAAGGGCGCGTGGTCTGGCCGGGGTGAGGATGGGAAGTGCGGAGAGGAGCCTGCAGCGGGGCCCAGGCTGGTGTCCGAAACTCGGCGGATGCAGCGGTAACTCCGCTTCAGGTTTCTAGGTGGCTGAAGCTAGAGACGTATCCCTGACGTCTGGACCCAGGAATTTGTGTCAGTGGGACTTCGGGGGTTTACTATATAACTCTGTATAACTAAACTCAGAGTATAGTACAAGTTGTGAGGATTAAATTAACTGGAATACGTAAAGTGTTTGCACAGTGCCTGACAATCAGTAAACTCCCCGTACACGTTACCTATCTTATGCAGCTTTTCCTAAGAAATTGCTGACCCTGTATGAGGTTATATCTTTTATGAGGATGAATACTCAGTACCTCATTTCCTCTTTCAGAGAAAGCCCCATTGCTTTCATTTACAGCAAAACTTTAAGAGCTGTTTATACTTGTGGCCCCCAATGCTTCGCTCGTGCTAATTCCAGTCTCATCAAACATTTGCCTTCATCACCATAGCGTGCTCATGTCACTAGGCTACCGTTTCTGCCACTCTTCTCTTTACAGTTTTTGCTTCTATTCCAGGGAGTCATAAATCATCTGAAGATTAAACTTAAGCTGGAAAAGCAAGGTTCAAATTAGGATCTCACAGCTACAGCAAAGATAGTTCTTTAACTTCTTTATTCAGTGGATACATGTGTCTGCTGTAAGCTGCTCACTGTTTATATTACACCGTTGTGTAAGGCACTTTCTATTTTCAAGCAACTTACACCAGGTAGGAAAACTCACCTATGATTCAGAATAATGCCCAGAAGAGCTGTTAGTACAGAAAAGTTTCCAGAAAAGGCAAAGCGAAGTGAGTGCAGTATTCTTGGGATTTAAGAATCTTATGCAGGAATTTCAGGTCAGTGATTCAATGAAGGGGAAGAAGGCATTCCAGACAGATGGACCAGTATAAGCAGAAAAGGGATGGTAGTAGGAAACTGCTTGGGTGGTATAGGGATTGAAACTCCGTTGGTGAGACCTTGTGGGATGAAGTAGGAAATGAAACGGAAAAATATTACTTCCTTACTGCCAGGCCAATAAATCTGGGTTTCACTTGGCAGTGGAGTACAAGATTGATTAGAAAGGGAAATATTAAAGATGCTTCGTGTATATTTATCAACATATGATAAGCTTGTGTTATTTCCAGAAAACTTTTAGTGGACTTTTTTGCATTAGGGTATAAAAGATCTAATGGGAGTTCACTGGAAGTACTAGTGAGTTCTGCTCAATTTTGAAATTACTCTGAGAGTAGTAATGACATATGCCACTCCTCATTTAAGGCTCTTTCTTTTTTTCCATTGAGTTCATTTCCAGGCCTCTTCCAAATAAATTTTGACCTTTAGGAAGTCTTCACTAATTCACCTCAGTCTGGGCTAAGTATCCATTCTCTGCGCAACTAGAGTGCTTTCTACTCTGAAAACACCTGTTTACCTGTTTCTCTTTTTTTGTGTATATGTCTGTCACCTACAATATATGTGCTCTATAAATGTTTGCTGGATGACTAAATGAACTTATCAAATTGGAAGCTTAGATTCTCCCACTACTAGGTGTACCGGTTAATAATGGCGGATTTTGTAATCAAAGAAAACATGATAATTTCAAGAGAAACATCAAAAGTGCTTTATTCAAAGTAATGTCCATCGCTAGCTACACATTTCCCCCATCTTTCAGGTAATTTGTGGATACCGTCCCAATAGAACTTTTCTTGTTTTGAGGCAAACCATTCAGAGACCCAATTTTCCACTTCTTTGTACGTTTTGAAGTGCTGCTCAGAAAGCGTGTGTGCCATCGATCAGAACAAGTGATAATCTGAAGGAGCGAGGTCTGGTGAAAACAGCGGGTGGGTTAATACTCACCAGGCAAGATCTTTTAATGTCTTTAACTGGTTTTGAAGTGTGTGATGGTGCGTCATCATGAAGCAAGATTACTTTGCTGTGTCTTCTGGCACATTCTGGTCGTTTCACGATCAAAGCGTGGTTCAAATTGATTATTTGTTGTCGGTAGTGACCAGTATTAACAGTTTCACCTGGTTTTAGAAGCTCATAATGCACCACACCTTCCTGATCCCACCAAACACAGAGCATTGTCTTCTTTTCGAAATGATTTGGCCTTACAGTCAATGTTGATGGTTGACCTGGATCAACCCATGATTTTGTGCATTTGGGATTCTCAAAATAAATTCACTTTTCATCGCCAGTCACAATTCGACACAAAAATGACTTTCTTTTGTGCTGTTGAAGCGTTTTACTGATGACTTTTCGATTTTCCATTTGTCTTTCGTTCAGTTGATGTAGCACCCATTTTTCTTCTTTTAAAATCTTTCCCATCTTGCACCAGGTCATTGCTCAGTAAATACTAGTTCTTTATTCCCTGGCCAGTTTGGCTCAGTGGCTAGAGCAGGGGTGGGCAAACTTTTTGACTCGAGGGCCACAATGGGTTCTTAAACTGGACCGGAGGGCCGGAACTAAAGCATGGATGGAGTGTTTGTGTGAACTAGTACATGTTAACACTGCTGCTGGTGAAGGAGCGGAGGGGAGAGCAAGAGAACCCTTCCCTCTTTCGGCTCCGCGGGCTGGATAGAACAGCCGAACCGGCCGGATCCGGCCCGCGGGCCGTAGTTTGTCCACGGCTGGGCTAGAGTGTCGGTCTATGGACTGAAGAGTCCCGGTTAGATTCCAGCAAACGGGCGCCATCCCTAGTAGGGGGCATGCAGGGAGGCAGCCAATCAATGATTCTCTCTCATCATTGATGTTTCTCTCTCTCCCTCTTCCTTCTTCTCTGAAATCAATAAAAATATATTTAAAAAAAATAAAATAAAAATTTTCCCATTGCTTGTAAATGATTGGAAATTGTTTGCTGAGCAACGTTTAATCTTTCTGCAAGTTGTTTTTGAGT